GCTGTTACGTATCGCAGCAACGGGCCGACCCGCTCCATGAGGCGTCTACGTATTTATGTCTATGCTTTAAAAGACATGGAGTATAACGTAGCTCTTCTTTCTCCTGGGCCTCCCATCTTTCCGGTCTGGTCCACTGGCTCCCCCTAGTGGTCTGGAGGTTTAGTGGTGAGGTTGCAGTGTTTTTCTGTTGGATTTTGTGTTTGTGTTTTACAGATTGTGTTTGCAGCACGCTTGGCTGATGATTTGTCCCTGTTGGAGCCTGTAAGCACCATCATCAGCCTGCAGGTCAGTCTGATCAGCAGAGGAACAGGAAGTCATCATCAACCAGAGGAGGAAGGTGGACCAGATGGAGACACTGCCACTAAAACTCTCATTAATCCGGTTTGTGTTTCAGTCTGCTGACTCTGATCTCAGGGTGAGTCTATCTCGCTTGATGCTGGCTGCTGTTGCCATGACGACGGCTGGCAGGAGCGGCGCTCCGGCAGCTCTGCTCACCGCAACCTGAGTGCCTCCGGAGGCATCAGCTCCAGCGTGTGGGTCGGCCCGTAGATGTTGACCACGAACAGCTTGACGGCCGGGTTGGGCTGGCCCGCCTGAACAGCCAATCAGAAACACCGCTGATCACACACAGGATGGAGAACACATCGTCACCTCCATGAAATAACGGAGAACAAGTCAACCATCATCCTCTTTTTATGGCATCATTTTTGGCCAAAGTCATATTTTAACAAAAAGAGGTAAAATGATTTATGCCTTAATTTCAGGAAGCTGACGATATGAAAACGTCCAGATCAACAACATTCAGACGATGAATTTCATCCCTGATTTCCTTCTTGATTATTTCAAATCAGATGGTGTGTCGTCCCTCCAACCGACAAACAACAGAAGAAGAATCATGAATGAACAACATTTTTATCTAAATATCAAGTTACAAAATTAAAAGGAATAAAAAGCTACATAGAACAAAAGTTCACCACTTTCCATCTGCATCTTTAATCCCAGACGGTTTACAGATGACCTCTGACCCCTCCCAGGTTGACGGGCAGCAGCAGGTCGTTACTGACAGTTTTTAAATAAATGCTGACTTGGTGTAACATGATGAGTTTTTGTTCCTTATTTTAACATCTGGTGATCTGTTTGTGTTAAATCAGATTTTAAGACGTAAACCTCCAGAACTGAAGCAGGTGTGTTTGCTGTGTGGAAGCGGTACCTTGGGGTAGGGGTACTGCTTCTGTTTGGGGTATGTGGCGCCGGTGAAGCGTGGCAGAACCATGTTGGGGACCAGAGAGTCGTTGAGCACCAGGAAGGCCAGCCGCTCCCCGTCTGGAGACCACCAGTGGGCCACATGGCTCTCCAGGATCTCCTCTGTTCCCACACAAACGGCCAGTTATTCACAACCAGGACAGCATGTTTACGTTTAGCTCCTCTATGGAGGACTGATCCTGGCAAAACTGGCAGTAAATGCAGAAATAAATAAATAGCTTGATAGCAGAAAGAATGTGGCAAATACTGGATCCTTATTTGATTATTCAGTAGGATATAAATTATTGTTTAGAATTTTAAAATGTTATTTTAACCGTGTCACTGTTACTTAATTTTCCATTTCATTTCCTATAGGTTTGTTTCCTTTTTGTCTTTTTTTTTTCATATTTTGTATTTACTGTTTTTCTGTTTGTTTTTTCATATTATGTTCT